GTTAAGGCGTGAATCAAACTTCTCGACAGAAAGAATTTTCACACTTTGCAGCAAATCAGTGTTTTGCAGCATATTTTTAAATTTGTAAATCTGTTTTGTTTTTTTTTCCAAGACTGATTCACTAGTATTTTTTAAGCTAATCCCCTATTCTGGGATCTTACTTGCACCCTACACTGTGTTAAATGGTTAACATTGGTATTATAGATTTTAGCACTTAAGAACACAGTTACCTAGTTTAAACATGTATTTTGTTAATTGTGAAAAAGTCTATTAGTCAGTTGTTTTCTAGTTTCCATGTATGTCTTTTTAAGTGGGGTTCTTTATTTCTTGTTCTGGGTTACCCTTGCTGAAAAGTTTTTTCATCTGCTTCTATTGATTATTCTTTAAACAAAATATGACGTTTGCAAAAAGACTTCCGAATTTTCATCCTGTCAACACCTTCAAAAATTCCACAACATTCCACAAGATGTATAGCCGTCTCTCTGTTTGAAATTTTTTCCAGGTCCTAGCTAGTTAGCTAGAGATGCGCAGCTTTTCCCTTTCCTATCTTCGAAGGGGGACATGGCTATGCACCCTAAAGCTGTCTCATTCAGCTCACTGCTGCAAGCCATATAGGCTCATAAAGGCCCGTGCTCAAGACTGTACATATCAAGCTAGCTTAACAAGGGCCATTAGATTGTATTGCCCCCTTAAAAGCATAGGTTAGTGAAGTGTTGACCAAAGTATTACATGCATGCATGTTCTTGTAATGTAATTGCAGAATGATGCAACTCATAGATCATTATCATGCCTTTTCTAGGTAGCATTTTTGTCAGTATTTTTAAAAACTGCATTGAGATATTAAAAAAAAGTAATTTGCACTCAGTTGTGAGTAGACTTTATTTGTATCAGTGCACTACTATGAACTTACCCTTAAACTCCCAAGAGTGACCAAGACAGAATTTCTCCTTATGATATCAATACAATATCAAGCAGACATGTGATGAGAATCAAGAAAGAATATCAATGAGGGGATTATTGGTTGATTTGATACCAAATTCTCCAAACCAACATCACGAGAATTGTAGAGGAGACAGTAAGGAGATTCTTGAATTAGATCATGGGAGTAAAAGGTTTAATGATCCTTTCATTTGTTTCACCACAGTATATTTTTAATTAGAAATTTACCTTTAGTTGGTCAATATGTGACATGGATTAGTTGTACAGAAAACTCCATGTAACAATTTATCAGACAATGAATTCTTACTGGAATCGTTATAATATGTATTCACCATTTTTTTCTTGGAATTGTTTTCAATTAGCCAATGGCCCAGTGATATACACCTCTGAAAAAGAAGGAAGTGATGAGTCTGGAGATGGATCTGCGCAAAAGCCATTTAAATCTATTATGCAGGTATATTTTACACAAATTTTTACCACAATTTTTACATTTGGTCAATTGTTCTGACTCAGTTTAGTGGTTGGTTTGAAAATGGATGAATAAAGCCCCGGCCAAACGAGAAATGTTGCGCCTCGCAACAAGACGCAACATTGTTGGGTCACCCATCATTTTCTCATTTGGCCACCCTGTTGCGAGTTGTTGCGATGTGTTGGCACTTGTTAGATAAAGTTTGACGACGGTCAAACTTTCTTCGCAACAAGAGCCAACATTTCCTTTGTTCATGTCTACAGTGCGTGAAATTTTCTCCTTTGGCCAGGTCAATGCAACATGTTGCACTAACGCATGTGTATCGCACACTCAAAATTCATGTACACAATGCGGATTCGTGAAAATGTTGCGTGTTGTTGAATATCGTTTGGCCACCCTCTTCCATGATAACATGTTGGGCGACCCAACAATGTTGTGTCTTGTTGGGTGGCGCAACATTTTTCGTTTGGCTGGGGCCTAAAGCTGATGGAATTATGTGGCATTTTTTTTCTTGTGTAAGGCTTTGCGCATCACTGATGGTGAGGAACCTCTTCCTCAAATTATGGTGGATGGGAAAGCTGATGGAGAGGTACTAATAGTGGTTGTTAATTTACATTCTTAAACATAGTTAAATTGTAGTTTGTTTGTTTGTTTGTTTTTTTTTTTTCAATCTAATTCAGTCAGTTCAAAACTGCAGTTCAGAGCCAGCTTATCATAAGATACAATGAGAAATTTTTCTGACCCTCACCTTATTTGTCAATCCTTGTTCCTTTCTTGATTTCCCTTGATTTAAAGCTACTTTATATTTTAGTCAGATAAAATGACTCCAGGCCCACTTTTTCTTTGTCTAACATTCCTTTTTTTTGTGGACTTCCCGAAATCTGAAGAACACCAGATGGTGCATTTCTAACACTGTTGTGAGTATTACTTGTTAATGAGTGATACATGAGGATTACATACATTGTAGTTGTAATGAATGCATTTTGGGTTGATAAATTTACATCACTTTGATTCCAGAGGTATGAAAAACTTGCCAAGGCTCAGCTAAAGAAAGTGACCAAACTTTATGCACAGGAAAAAAAGAAGTCAGAAGACAGAGAGAAGAAAGAGGTGATGAATTCTATTACTCTGACTTTCAGTACAGTTGATATGCAGAAGTGGTAATCATGAATTTTAAGGCTAACTGTTCATGAAGTTTCAAGGGAAAGATAGTAGGTGTTGTAACGTTCTGGAGTTCGCTTATACAGTTCGCTTACAGTTCGCTTAGTTGTTCGTTATCCTACTTTGTCTCACACCCCGTTCTCACTTTACAGTGCATAGTAAAATACTCGAGTAAACATCTCCTGGGGTCTTGGGTGTGGTCTTGGAGGCCTGGACACTACAGGTGTACTTATTCCTCTTTTCTGTAAAAATCAGTGGTTAATTTATGGAATGCATAGTCCTGGTGGTCTTTCTTTTCCCAAATGACCACTTACAATAACACAAAATTCCTGTTAGTAGTGAATCTAGGGAACAGATAATGGATCTTTGATCTTTGACTGTTTCTAATTTTCCTTACTATTTGACAAATGCTCACCAGTCTACTTTGAACTTTTAAGTACATGCCTGTAGTCATGTAGTATCACAGTGCGACACTTATGAGATACATTTACTTAATATGCAGTCTCTAACTGGCTCCACTATACTGGAGATCATGCCAGTGCAGGCACTCCTTCGCAGTAACGTTACTCTAGATGTAGAGTCCTTTAAATTAGGAGTTTTGGTGCTTAAGAGTGTCAGCTACCAAAAGATACTAACTAGTGTCACCTTGTGTTGCATGGTAGGCTGAAAAAGCCCAGCAAAGAGAAAAAAATCTGGAAGAGGCCAAGAAAATTACAATAAAGGAGGATGAGAGTTTGCCAAAAGCCACAAGGGTAAGCATTTAAACGCAGGCATGGTTGTGTTCATTACACAGTACATGATTAAAAACCATTAGCAATTAATTGGTGAAACTTTTTTATTTTTTGCTGCTAAGAAATTCACATTTGCACATGTTAATAAGCACTGAAAAATAATGTGAATAGAGGAACTTATAATTTTTACTATTGTTGTTGTCAAATTAATTTTAAAGCTACTTTAAATTTCTTTCATTGTAAAGCTATAAATTTCTTTTTTTTTAAAAAAAGGACACTCGAACTATTAATTGAAAATGCATGTATTTTATTTTGAAATGATATAAACAGATACAGATTAGTGAGTCAGTGGCTAACCGTGACAAGAGAGTGAAGGTGTTTGGTTGGGTTCACAGGCTTAGAAGACAAGGTGAGTTCATGTGGATAGTACAGCAGAATGTTCTTTAGTCTATATACTTTAGGTGTTATGTCACCATTATGGCTCCACAAAAGCAATTGAAAATATTCAACAGGCTGAATTTTTTATCTCTCTTGGTATGACTGAATGTTATAATAGTAATTTAATGTTTTACGATGTATACCCTTGTATCTATCCACTAGGTAAAAACCTGATGTTTATAGTTCTTCGAGATGGCAATGGGTTTCTTCAGTGTGTCTTGTCAGATCTTTTGGTAAGCAATGCAAAGCAAAACTCTGGTACGTACTTGAATCTAAGTATTAAATGTAAAATTTTATGATTATGTTGAAGCTAGCTACAGTGAAGGATGAATACCTGTACTTTAAACCCTAACCATATGTTAGCTAGAGTACTGAATTTTCTTTCTCACCTTTCAGTGTCAGACCTATGAGGCTGTAACATTGGCCACTGAAGCTTCTGTGTGTCTTTATGGTGTAATCAAGGCACTTCCAGAAGGAAAAACAGTAAGGCATTTTTGTATTCCTTTATCATCTTGTTGGCTGTTCTTTTAAGAATAGGTCACCATGATCCTTCCCCACTTCTGTGCATCCTAGGCCTTTGTTCCATGGTAACCATATCTGTGGCATTTCTTGACCTNTGCCCCACGACTGAGTTTAAAGAGGAATGACTCTAACGGGTAATGTGACGTCAAATCAAGAACACGAAAGTCTGCATTTCACACATTTTCACTTGTTTGGGAAGGTTATCGTCGATATTGTCCGAAATATGCCGACTAGGTGTGTTGTATGAGGAATGTATGAAGCGCGATATCCTCTTACAAATTTCACACATTGCTACATCCTTCTACAACACACTTAGTCAGCATATTTTCAGACAATATTGACTACAACCTTCCCAAACAAGTGAAAATGTGTGAAATGCAGACTTTCGTGTTCTCGATTAGACGTCACATTACCCGCTAAAGCCATTCCTCTTTAAACTTGGTCGTGGGGCAAGATGGCGCCGATTTTTCCGTATTTTGACTGGGCACAGAAAATTGAAGATTTGAGCAAATAAAAAAATTTTTGCACAGAAATACTCCAAAAAATACGCTTATTTCGTTGAGTGAAAAAAAATTTTTGGGTTTAGGTGCACTTTAAATCAAACAATAAAGTTTTGAGAACAAGGAAAAGATGGTTAACTGAAGTAGCTTTTGATTGTCAAGCAAGGAAAATTGAGGAGAATATATGTCCTGATGTGATGGCATGAAGGGTTTTCATTTTGTTGTGATTTTTTTCCCCAGCCAATCCTGCTGTGTCGCTTTCCAACCAACATTAAGTCTTTCTACATGTACAGATGTCCAGAGGACAAGGGTCTGACTGAATCAGTAAGTATACAAGCCTGTAAGCCAGGTTCTATGAATGCAGATTTTTCTGGGCTATAACCTATTACCAGGGTCAACATTTACACTTCCCCTCTTGTCAAAGTTGGTAACAAGCTAGTTTGGCCTACATGAAAATGATTAAAAGAAAACCAAGATTGAGAGGGAGCTGAGTGTATCAGTCAGTCCCCATTGATTTCTTTAACTTTTTGATAATATAAAGGTTAAAATATATATATTCATATCTACATGAACATGTAGATTTGGAAGATGTGATGACCACAAATGTTGCATCTGCTCATGGGCATCCATGCTTTGTTCATCATAACAGTGTGCATTTTTAATTAAGGTTGATCTTTTGATGCCTGGAGTTGGTGAAATTGTTGGAGGATCCATGAGGATGTGGGAATATGTAAGTACTTGGACAGGGTGACTTGTTTGTTCCTAACAATTTAGTGTAGTTTGGTGTGCTTGATACTACAATCCTTGTATTAGTGACATTCCTTCAACAAGAAGGGCCTACAGATAGATGATCCTCCATGTGGATAAAATAGGGTGAAATTAACTGCACATTTCTCCACTATTGGGCACCTCCCTTTCTCAACATAAATTTTAAATAAGCATTCCCAAGAGATAATTCAAGGATGTATTTGGTTTAACAACATGGATTGAATATGTAATAACTAAATTCTCCCTATGATATTAGGAAATTATCCTGCAAACAGTACAAGAATACTCAAACCTATCAGGGAGAGGCTATTGTCTTGTTATTATCTAACACCAAATTCTCAGTACTAATTTACAAGGAAATGCACAGCAGCTAATGGTGGAGAATTAAAAATCAGATCTTGAGAGTTAAAGGGTGAAACTAATTTGGAAATAAAATATGAATATTTGCTTACACTGCAACTAAAATTAATTGTAACGAGCGCTATGACAACGGACAACTACATTGGATCAAGCAGAAACCAAAGAACTAAATTTAATGCTAAGATCATCAACATATATACACAGTTATAATTATTCTATCACAGAGGTGATAGGGGTATTTGATAATGCACGATAATAATTATGCACAAGCATTCGTCACACAAATTGAGGTTTGTACCTCTGATTTGTTTAGGAGGAGCTGCTGGAGGGTTACAAGAGAGAAGGAATTGACCCCACACCTTACTACTGGTACACTGACCAGGTATGTCTTTCCTCTGACTTTCTTAAGATTTAATGGCACTTATTTTTGCAGTCTGTTGTATTTAACTGTAGCGGCCGACACAAGCCAAGCAAAATTTTGACAACAACTATGAGTTTCGCAAATGAAGACACACTATGAAGCGAGGATATATTTTATGGACAAGTCTTGAATCGTTTTATTTAACGTAGTCGTGGTATCCAAGTACTTATCATAAACTGAAATATGAATTTATAAGGAAGAAGCTAAGCTAAATGCGAATAGACAAACCAACATTCCAAACTTTCCGATATAAAGGCAAGGTGCAAAGCTAGCTAAAAACTCAAACAAACTCACAAAAGAACTATATATAAGCTCAAGGAAAGGAACATTAGCACTTACATAACAGTCCCGCTTGTAAGAATTGAACCAAAACGAACTTCAATATGAGTTAGGTATTTGGAAGCGAAACAGGAAATCCAAACAGACACTTACTCTAACACAGAAAACTGTAGTCTTACGGCAAACGACAACAACCAAACGATAAACTAAAAAAAACTTCAACTACTCTTCTCAAAAAATCGCACACGTCAACATTAATTAAAAAGGGTCCGCGTGATTTGCTTACAAGATTACTTCGTAACCTCAAAGCATGCGAGTCGCGCGTGCATAAGTTTGTAAAAGTCTTCTTAACAGCAGGCAAAAGCGTGGAAGCCTTTACATTAACAATTATTCATTGAAAGCAAAGTGAGTATTGTCGAGTAATCCCCTGAGATGAAGTCAAGAGGATTATTCAACAATGTTCACCAAGCCTGATGCAATTATAGGTGAGATATGATGCAATTCTTGACCAATAAGAGTGTGTGCATCTCTATGATCACCTCAGCAATTATACTAATAATAATTAATGGTCACTCGTATGTTACATTTTTTTTTTTTTTGAAATTGTCTCAAATGGAATGGGCTTTGAGTATAAGAACTACTTTCAAGGACCAGTTCTAACCCCATTAGTTGTAGGTGTGATCAGTACAAAAATTCCCGTGTTCATTGATAATACGCTCTCCAGGAAATGAAGGGTCAGCTTTTAAAATGAATGTTCCTCTTTTTATTATTATTCACAGAGGAAATATGGTTCTTGTCCACATGGTGGCTATGGTTTGGGACTGGAGCGATTCCTCACATGGCTTCTGAACAGACAGCACATCAGAGATGTTTGTCTCTACCCACGCTTTACTGGAAGGTGTCGACCATGAAACAGATGTTTCTTGGAAAATTTGAAATGACCATGAAGCAGTCAATATGCAAGATAAATTGAAAAGTGTACTGATGGCAGTTCCTTAGTAGCTAGAATGTGACAATTGCTGAAGTGTTGTAATACTTGACTGTACAACAAATGAAGTGCTTCACAAAATAAAGAATTGTGTGCAAAAAAGGGCTGAGAAATTGCCTATAATCTCAACCATAGAGTGACTAGCATCCTATTTCTCCCAACACATCACTGCTGATACAAACAGTAAGGTCGTGTGAATATTGGAGATGAGCAACCAAAGAACTTGTCAACTGTTAAACAATTTATCTATGTCAGTGTCATTTAGTAAGGAGAATATGCATGTTGATACTGCAGATGGGAGAAGGGGGTGCTGACATTGAAGTGGTGGTTATCGGTAATGAAAACAAAAAATCTGAAAATGAATTGATGTGAAATAACAAGTGATCAACTGCAGTTTCAACAAAAAGAGCACTGTTGACATTTGCCGTATTAAGGATAACCACAATCCTTTCAAGTTCATTTTGAGGAGAAGAGCAAGCATTGAGATGGGTAATTTTAGTCTCCCTAGCAGCCCTTTCCGGTGTCGTCATGCAAGCAAAAACTCCCCCACCAACGGCTGCTCACATTCGAACAACATTCCTTTCCCATTGTAATGTGTTATCCAATCAAAATAAAGTTGTCGTCTGACAAACAACCAATGAACACACGATATTTTTATTCCCGCGAATTCACAGGAAGCTCGTTGGCGTTAGTTTCTAAAGATGGAATGTGATGTCATCAAAACTCCGAAGAAAATATCAGATGATTGCTGTTTTGTTTGCCCAAATCCTGTGGGCAAATTTATAAAAACATCCCCTCTCTCTTCTATAATTACTGTTATGGCTTCTCTCTGATGCAAATTCAAGCTCTCCATACCAAAAGTATCTCGTACTGAGTCGAAAGCGTCTTCATTTTGCCAGTTTCAACGCTCGGATAATACGAACTCTGTGATTGGTTTGATTATTGAGGCACAAACGCTTTCCAGAATATGGTAAGTAAATGCTGATTGGCCAATTTCCTGAAAGGAATGTTGTTCGAATGTGAGCAGCCGTTTGTGGGGGAGTTTTCACTTGTGTGATGATGCCGGAAAGGGCTGCAAGGGAGACAAGGTAATTTCAATGTGTCCCATTTTACAAAAGCAAAGTACTTTCCTGCATTTTCCTTGTGTGGCATGAATCTATTTCTTTGGCATCCAACCCATATCTTTATTACCAGTTTTCCTTAATAGAAATTATAAAAAATATGCAACAATACTGTGTTACCCATACCACTCAATTTCAAAAATTCTTTATAAATGCTTTATTTATTTGATAATTTGTGAATGCTAATATACATGTGTCTTGACTGTTAATGAAAAAAATCTGTTTTGTACAGGTAGCAAATTTAATTTTTTTTTTTTCAGTATTGTAACCTCTGACAACTTTGCTTTGATGAAATTTACGGCAAAATGATTTATTTTTCAGTGAACCCCAAAATATTATTTCATTCCAAAGTTGTAACTCCGCTGCCTACAAACTTTACTAACAGTGATTTTGTTAAACCTGAGAAAAAAAGAAGAAAAAGTTGCCCTCACAGCTAGTCAAATTAAACAAACCACTGTTCAGTTGCTTTATGGTCTCTCTCCAATGCCACCAGCTAAATCATACACTATCTGAGAAACTTCTCGTGCTAAAGAATCCACTGCTTCTCTTGTGTCTGCCTCTGCGTACACTCGGACAACATCCTCAGTACCAGAGGGTCGCACAAAGGACCTTGCACTTTTATACCCTGCAACAAGCTTGTCGATTTCTTCTTGTAGCCCCTCAGGAGCTGTAGTCTTCCTTTCAGAATCTGTTGTTTTAATGACAGTGCGATCCTTGATAGTAACTTTACGTTGCCTATTGGGGAGGTCTGTGTATGCTGCCCCCCAGTCGTCCAAGCTCCATCCCTTCTCATAAAGGATGGTTTCGACCACTAACATGTCACTCATGGCGTCTCCAACTGTTTGGTTGATAAGATCTACCATGCTTAAAAACTTTTCTGCAGCTTTGTGCCTCTCAGTGCTGGCATCACTGTCTTGAACAATAGCCTTCATCTTGTCTACAACATCCTTTGTAAACAGCACAGTTCCGTGACCATTTGCTTCAAAGTAGACTCCAATATCAAACTCTTCAGCTTTGTGGTGGACATGCTTCACTCCTGTCTTTGCACAAGCCACAGGAACACCAAGGGTGCTCTCGGCATATGATGTTGAGCTACCATTGGCATAAGCTGTCTGGACTATTCCCAAACCTCTTTCAAGAGACACGCCTGTTTTATCGAGTTTGTCTTTTAGGTAACCCACCATCAGTGTGGCAATTCTATCTCCATCTAACAAACAAAATTTATTTTCTTTGTTGAAATAAAAATACAAGACACGATCGGCATCACCGTCGAATGTGACGCAACGATCACCTGGGGTTATCACCATTCCTTCAGGAGCACATTGATGAAGCTTGACAAAATCAGCACCACACTTCTCATTGAGCTTTCCAGTTGATCCATCATTGCACACCCAAATGGAGAGGGTACCATTCAAGTGCTGGGCCATTTCTTTGATTTTCAGAGCTCCTACACCATTTGCACCATCCAGCTTAATGACTGGTACATCAGTTTTGCCTGATAGTGAACGCAGGTGAAGGAAAGCCTTGGAGATCTTATGGTAATATCCCTCTTCTGTGGCCTCGCCATATTCACCAGCTGTATTGGCACATCTCACCATGTAATGCAACTGAGGGGTTGCCAAGACACCTGCAAAGGAAAAACTTTCACAGTTGAAATCCCTAAAGTTCAAAATAACCATTTAAGAGAGGTATAGAGATCATTCCGAGCAAGGTGCAAAAAAAAAATTTTTATCACGAGTTGCAAAGCATCAGTGTTACTCGTACCAATTATTGTCCAAATACACCACTTTATTATACAATGAAAAACCTCATTAAAGGCACTCTTGTAAGCTGATCAGTAGCATTGCCTATATTTCTGGCCACCTTCCTAGAGTAACACTTTTATTTCTATATACTAACTCTATAGTTTACTTTCTTGGAAGGAGTCTTTTCCATAATGAGCATGGGAACCTAGTACAGGAGACAAGACTTGCAATTTTCCTATCATTCTGACTTGCTAGTAGGAACAATCACAAAACTGAGATAGATAGAGAACAAAGGATTGATCTTGACTCTTTACTTCCGTGTAGTATTCGATTCCCTCCTCCCCAAAAGGGAACATTATCTCTTTACCGTAATCCTGATGCGATCCACCCAGAGCTTCAACTCCTTCTACCAGAGCCTGTACGAACTGTTTACCACTGGGTCTGGTGTCTCGTGCGATGAAAACCTTGGCTGGGACATTCCAATCAACACTGTGTTCTGTGACTACCCCTCTCAGGACTTCAGCCACATCTTGAGCATTAGCAAGTTCCGATGCATGCCTCTCCCAAGATGGCTGTAGCATCTCGCCAAAAGGATCGACAAGTTTCACGCCATTATCGTGCACAGGGTTATGAGAAGCAGTGACGACCACACCGATCACTTGTCCATTTTTGGCCTTCGAACGCAGAACGGCGAGCAGGCCCATGCGAAACATTACAGAGTCGAGATTGTCAGCTAGCGCACGAAACCCAGCAGTTCCATAACTGAACTTGATGTCAGGTTTTGGATGTTGCTTACTAACTTCCGCAGCCTTCTGGAAAAGAGGATCCATTGTCATAGGAGAGTAGAACGGAGAAATCAAGGCTGAAGTCTAACGAAGCGTTAAATATTTCCTCACGATAAAAGCCACGTTGGTAATTCGGCTCCAGTTTCCTAACGCGATCGTTGACAGCGCACGCCTTATTTTCATAACTTCACCGCTAACATGTAAGCTTAACCACCGCTGGCTCGTCCTCTTCGCTTTCTTGTTTTCGGCCATAGTAGAATTCTCCTGTGAAGGTACTCAATCGTCTTCCATCCTTGCTATCCTTACGAGATATGTGTTATTTTTTTTCCCGAAAAATATTAAAATTTCATTTCTTTGTCTAAAAGATAGCTTTTGTTCCTGTATTTTTTTAAACTTGAAATCGTTTTGATCTCTCAAAACTTCATCCGCACGTTTCAAGAAGAAGAGTTCGTTTAATTTTTATGTGTAGAAACAGGCTTCGAATTTATGTGGAATTAAGGTTGAACAACTATGAAGGTTGGAGATAATTTAAGTTTGTTCACGGATTATTGTATATAAAAGGAAGACTTTCTTAAAATGTTTATCGAACAGAAAACAAACCATGGCTCGTAACCAAGAAATGGCAGTGGGACTCCACAAGGGTCACAAAACCACGAAAACAGTGCAGAACCCGAGACCATCCAGAAGGAAAGGAGTGAGTGTGTTTCTATTACTAGACAAATGCCTGAATATATAGTTGTAGTTTAGTGCATTGCAAGAATTCACTGAAATATGGTGTCTTTCCTTGCTGTTTCTAAGGTTTGTGTGACAGCAAAACTTATATTCAATGAAAGTGTGTTGTTACTGAGTATGTGATCACGGTATTATGTACTAAGTTGTAGGTAACACCCTTTCCAAGGTTGTACTCAAAGAAAAAATGAAGAAAGCCAAGTACTGTAGGGTGCTCATCATATGCTTTTTATGAATAAACTAAAATTCCCAAGTTGTCCAAGAGCAATAGTAAGGTGCCTGGGGCCACAGGGTGCGGTAGACCACAGCCCTGCTTTCTTTCACTCTCTTCCCCTCTTCCTGTTTTTAATAATTAGCAACTGAGAAGAACTGTAGTGGGAGCAACTTCAGAATACCCGTCCACCTCATTTACATGTGTTGGGAGGCGTTAAAGAATGAGGCATAACACCATAGACGCTATTCTTGTTTAATGACATGTAAATAAGTGGCCAGGTATTCTGAAGTTTGGCCCTGTAGTGTTTACCAAATGGGGAACTGTTGTTTTTTGATGTTACACACCTTTTTTTTTTTTTCAATTCAAGGGCAGAAAATGCATGAATGCTCAGTCTGACATGACATGTTTCTGAAATTGGTTGGGCTTGTGAATGATGGTACAGTACTGGCAACCCTGCTGCTAAATATTACATTTGCTGCATCACCTTTGTATGCAAACAACTATTACTAATTGGGGGAGAATGTCAGTGATATTGAAAGGGTCACATCAAATGCATTACGATATTAGTAAGAGTTTTTTCCCCTTGTTTTAATTTTCAAATGTGGAGGGTTTTCAGTGGTACTTCAGTTTCTTGTTCCACTGAGAAATACGTCAAGTACTTGTCCTAAAAGCAGCTGTGGTTGTTGTGATTTTCTCTTGTGACAGAAGTGATTGTTTTTTTTTTGTTTAGGTTACTGATGCATTTTGTATGCTATGTGTTTTGTTCTCTAAATTTGTGCCAGTGTCTATTGTCAAATAAATTGTTTAATGATAGAGTTTTCCTTTGTCTTTAATTCGAATAAGCCATTTTCAATTTACCTTTGGCCTCTTTTTCAAAATGAGGCCTGGTGCTCAACTTTTCTTGTGAAGTCGAATTTAATTTACATGGGAATGAAAACTTATCATCGTATAAAAGGATGAGCACCGGGACTCGCTTTCAAAAAGAGGCTCAAGGTAATTCAGAAATGGGCTCTTCCACCTGAGAAAAAGCTGCACTACGCGATTTGGTGATTGTATTTAAAGTTGTATGATTGTTTATCAGCAATGTTTCCAAAACATAGTGCAAGTAGGTAGCTAAAGGTGGCATACATGCCAGCAGTTTTGACTGAGCACTGGCTTTTAGCTACTGCTATACGCTTATTCAAACTAGTTCTCAGGAACTGTGAAGTGCTCTAAAATAGACTAGAAGGAGAATTTGAAAGGACAATTTTTCTCTAACCTCGCCATTCCTTCAATGGAATGTTCTTGGTTATAAACTATGTTCTTTCTTCAGGATTTCCTTTCCTTTCTACTTCAGATGACAATAGGGATTAAGGAAAATGATTGTTGTTGTTGTTGTTTTTTTTTTTTGTTTGTTTGTTTGTTTTTTTTTGTGAACTATCATTTTTTTCTTTCTTTTTTTTTTTAGGCTGGTAACAAAAGGGTAAAATTCATCCGTGATCTTGTGCGTGAAGTTGTTGGATTTACTCCTTATGAGAAACGTTGCATGGAGTTGATCAGAATCCGCAAAGATAAAAGGGCTCTGAAATTTGTCAAGAAGAGGGTAATTATTGGCTGTTTCTTGTTTCTAACACGCTTTTATTTTATTCACTTTCTAACCAAGTATGATTTCAAATGTTATTGCAGCTGGGAACCCACACCCGTGGAAAGAGAAAGCGTGAAGAAATGCAAAGTGTCATTGCTGCAATGAGGAAACAACAACAACATTAAATTGTTAATAAAAGTCTCTTTTCTCTGGATTTTGTTGTTTTGTTTGTGTATTCTTTGTGAATATTTTGTCGACTAACAGAAATCAAAAGTGGCTTTCAGTGGGTCATAATAGTTATTTGATGGATGTGGTTGTCTAATGATTTGTATTCGTTAAGATACATGGTTGCAGATATACCCTTTGAATGGTTAAATTGGAAATAGTGTATACTCAGAGAGCAACCATGATATTTTGAGTTCACCAAAAGAACAGGAATTAAATTGAATTGAAATTTTATTCCTAGTGTTGATTTTTAATTTTTTGTTAATATTCTTATTACCGATACTTTCATATTTTTGTACTCATGACAAAAAGCTTATGTGAGATCTCAGCTATTACAAAACAAAGGAAACACTAATGCAATAGGGAAGATAATTAACAACTGCCTGCCAAAGACGCGCAAAAGCCGCCCTATTATTCCGGACAACCCAGTTTCCTTGGCTAATAGATTCAATGAATATTTTACATCTGTTGGAAGTTCAGCAGCTCAGGAAGCATACGATCTTGCTTGTGTACATAATTATCATATCAATCCCGCTATGCCAACACCTGATGATTGCCCTGACTTTTTCGATTTCACACCGTACTGGAGAAGGATGTTGAAGGTGTAATTAAGGGCTTCTCTTCCAACAAAGCATCAGGTCGTGACAAGATTACAACCCGCGTCCTCAAGGACTGTTTGCCAGTCAGTACCAAATATTACAAGCATTATGAATAACTCATTTAGATCTAATTGTTTCCCTAAAGTATGGAAAATGGCTGAAGTTACTCCTGTGCTAAGGTCTGGCAACCCCGAAGATCCCTGTAATCACCGGCCCATCTCATTACTGCCAATTAACAAATGGTAAACACCACAGCGTACACTATTGAGTTATGGATGCACGCGGGAGGTTGCTAAGCACGAAAGAAGCGTAAGAGTCGCTCGAGGCGATAGCCGAGAGCGACTCTAGCTTCTTGAGTGCTTAGCAAACCTCCCAAGTGCATCCATAACTCAATAGTGTACGCTGTGGTGTTTACCATTTGTTTTATAACATAACATTGATACATTGTAGCTAAAGAGTTCCCTTTTATTTAACAAATCTTACGCGACCAGAAAAAACAAGCGCGCGCGGAAAAATAGTCTTTGCATTTGCTCACGTCAGCAGCGTACACCCATGGGCAAATGGGGGACGCTAAATTGACCAATCAGAGCGCGCGCTTTACTTTGGTTATGTTATATAATTANTCCGTTCCAACCCACTGCAAGTCTGTGTGCTACGTCGATGACTGTAAATTATACCTATCCTTTCGCTCAACTGACATCGCTCGCGTATTTGGCTATCTGAACGAAGAGTTGAGTGAAATCTGCCGATGGTGCTGTCAGAATTCCCTTCTAATAAACCCAGCTGAAACTAAAATCTTACAAGTTGGTGTTCCTCAACTACTGCGGAAATTGCCTCCAACGTCAATTTCACTCTTGGGAAAGGAAATAACACCAGTCCCTGTGGCAAAGGACCTTGGAGTCTACATCGACCAGTCCTTAACATATAACGATCATATTGCTAAAACTACTTCTAACTGTATTTTCAAACTAGTACAGATCAGCAGGATCAAACACCTCTTGGACAGGAAGACTCTCTTACTTTTGATGAACGCTTTTGTTTTTAGTACAACGTATTATTGTTCAACTGTATGGGCCAACACTTGTCAAAGAAATATAAAGAAGCTTCAGCTAGTGCAAAACTTCGCTGCCCGTATTGACCCGTATTGTCTTAGGTCTTAAGAAATTTGACCTCATCTCCCAAGGCATAAAATCTCTTAAATGGCTCACTGTTAAGGAAAGACTTTATTTCAACGATGCTGTAATGGTATTTAAATGTGTAAATAATTTAGTTCCTGAATATCTGGCTAACACGTTTGTCCCACGATCTCGCATTCACAGTAGGGTAACAAGAACATGTAATCTGTTCTACATCCCGCGAATCTAACTAGTTGATTTTACCTTTCGAATAAGATCCATCCTTTATTTTTCTTGGCCCGATTCAACTCCGCTACCTTCTGACATGATATCTAAACAATTATAGTTAACTAACTTTTATCAACTTTGTTCTCGTATTTTTTGTTCAGTCATATATCTTTTTACTTTGTCTTAGCCCTCCCTTGTTACTTCAGTGGAAACTCATAATTCCCAACCCCTTAATTCAGCATGCAGTTTTACCGTTCTTGCAACTCAAACATCCTCGTTCCTTAAGATGTTCAAATTAATTTGGCCACCAAAAATGAAATTCTAAAAATGATTATTCTTTCAATATTTTGTTTACATCGAAAAGAAATGATCTGGTGTCGTTAGTCAAATTCTAAAATTATTCTATTTATCCGCAAATTAAACACAACCGACTTAGAACAAATTCATCGACTTCTCTTTCAAGTTGGATATAGTTTTACAACTCACATACCCTTTTAAAATGGTATGAATCAGTTATTTCGTCAATAATTAAGGTTTATTTCTCAGAAAAGGTATGCTCAGTACTTCAGTTTGTACCTATACACACAGAATCACCCTGGTCTACTTTTCCTCCAGCTCCACATTCATGCTCCATGTCTAAACAATTAAAAGTTACCAGTTAAACTCTGATTAGTTCCTCTTTCTCTACATCGGTGTTCCTTCCAATATTATGCAAACCTTTTTTATTTTTTTTACAGTCTTGAGGAAGTGGAATAAAATATTCAGCCGATATTTCTGCACCTATTTGGCCAAGTTCTTGATTTTTTATTTTTCTTACAAAAAATCTCCTCCAAAAATTCTTTTACGGTAAATTATCCAATTCAAGATAGTCTTACTGGTTGATTATACCTGTCAAATATGATTCATCCCATTTTGCTTAGCCTGATTCAACTCCGCTATCTTGCGGCGTTATATTTAAACAAAAACATTTCCTTTTTAACTATCATTTACAAAGTTTAAGTTGAAGTCCTCTCCTAAATTTGTTCCATGACATTTGTTTGTACCCAACAAATTGTCTTTCATCTCCTTCATTACTTCAAAAACATTAAGTTGACAAGCTGTTCATGCTTAAACATCCCCCACCTACCCCTCCCACCTGCTTTTCTTAATGCGACAACCTTAGACCAATTTTCCTATTCCTCTTGAACTCAAATATCGTTTTTCCGAAATACATCCTAGTATATGCTATGTGGCGAAGATTTAAAATATATTTTTTTATGTGTATCTTGGGACTGTAGAAACTCTAATTTTTTTCTATTCTCACCAGGAATATCGTTTAACAAATGTACCATGTCATCCTGACCACCGACGATAACCAAGGGGTAACAAAACTGAGTGCAAAATACATCAATGAAATAAACGTTTCCCTGCCGTAACACAACTGCAAGTTGATAGATAAGAATTTCATCCTCTGCCAAGACAATCTTCATATAAAACTATGATCTTATTCAGCAGGTGAAAAAAAAAATTGAGGGCTAACAAGACCCCCTCTGAGCTAACCGCCGAGTTTTTGAATGGGACTAATGAGGGCCTAAAAAATATTGAAAAAAAAAAAACCTTTTACATAACTCTGCGAAGATATCAAGAGGTAAGACTGTGTGATGATTTCCTTGAAACGTTACACAATCAGCAAAATCCCTTTTTAAACTAATTTTCCAGATGCCCTTTATTACTTAGTGAACTCTCTGTGCAATTTTGGTCGTAAATTTATTCATCGAAGTAGGAGGTTGACAAACAATGTTAATTAGCTATTTCCAACTTTTTGTATTAGTAACGTTTTAAGATGTAATTTCTTGTTCTGTATAGCCGGCGAGGGAGTGAGATTCAATGAGTTTTCTCTGAAAAGGTGAGAAAAGAAGCTTTAAGTTATTAGTAAGAGCAGTTTTAAATTTCGCACCGAGACATCGCCAGAAGCCTTCTAAAGTAACTACCGCATTTGATACGGTAGCTGGGTATGTCTACGACCGCGCCTGTTAATTTTATGTTTAGGAATATTTTCCTGGTTTTGACGAGCAAAATCTCCCAGAAATGAGATTTTCATTTGGGAGTTCAGGCAGAAAAAAGGTCATAGTGTTTTTATTTACAAATCCTCTTAATGAAAACGTGACATAATAGATTTTGGTGAAGACTAAAGGAGAAGGTTTACACCTGCAATATTCTCTTAACAAGACTCTTGCTGATATGAGTAGCAAGCAACTTTTCTTTGGCCATGAACATAGGTACTACTGGTTCTTCGCCACCAAACAAATAGAATAAAAAATTATTATAAACAGGTACGAATGAGTGAAAATATTAATTTGTGAATTCGTTTTTTGTATTTTTATGCGAAACAAGGTAGTTTTGAACTTTGCGTGAACGTGAAAAAATGATGGACGTTATGCGTGATGCGTGAAAAGGCCAACTCTTATTACGTGAATGAGTTTTACAAAGGGTATAGGGGACCCTTTGTTAACGAAGCTACTAACGCAGGACAACTTGGTTGAAATCAACGTTAACGAATTGACAAAAACCGGCCATATGGCGAATGAAGCAAAAACATACCAATGTCGACCGTGATTACGTAATCTTTGAGAGACCTCGCATAATAACCTAAATATAATCAATTGAGGTAAAAAAAAAAACCCATTGAAATGGAAGTAGAATTCTTTTCAGTTCCATCAAAAGAGTAAGATGGATATGTAAGTACTCGTTGCTACGGGCGAGTATTGTATACTTGCCAACGAAAACGAGAAAGCGAAAATGAAATAATAGCATGTCTTTGTGCATATTTCAGAATGCTTGCCAAAACAGTATTGGCCCTATTCTGCATAGTGGTCCACCCCATAGCAGTTTTTGGTGACCATACAAAGAGTGGTGCATGTCGGGACAACAGAGAGGAGCATGGTTTTGCTTTAGTTGGACATGATTACAGAAGTGAGTCCGCCGACCATTTTGGACGTTGTTTGTTTGTGTGCAGCTCAGAGGAAAGATGTCAAAGTGTGACGTATCTCTGGAATAAGAAGGAATGTAAAATGAACAAGGAAACAAAGAAGTCAAGACCAAGAGATTTTATAGGAAACGCAGCTTCTACCTATATGGAGAATAATTTTCGAGGTACCCTTAATCAGTCTCTGATCCCAGTTAAGGTATATAAGCATATGAGCTTACAGACGACCGCTTACTTCTACTTTTTAAACAGCAAAAAAAGGCTCAAAATCTTTGGTCCTAGGCCATTCCTGTCAAGATATCGTGATCAGTGGCGACGCTTAGGGGAATGGTGAGTACTGGATCGACCCAACAGCCACAGGGAACCCCTTCAGAGTGTTCTGTGACATGACAAATGCACAAGGTAAGTTTAGGTTGAAAGCTTCCGATAAGGCTGCCAGAAAGTTCCGAGATTTCTGGAATTTTATGTTGTTACAATTTTTGTATAATATACAAGAGAAATCATCCCGAGAGAGATAGGGAATGGCTAACCTTTTGTTTATCTTTTTACCTATTTATCGTAGTTGTTTACATATACTTTTTTTTAGGTGGATGGACTCTGATCGGTCGCTTTCTCATGAAAGATCAAAATCCTGATGACCATTTATCCGTTACCTCGGATTCTTACAGAGAGATTCTCCCGAATTATACCTCTAACAACCACTACTTGTTACGGACTGGCTTCAATCAGCTAAAAAACGACATGGGCTTCACTCAGATCCGGTTCTACTGCTTCAAAAAGAAAGTTGGCCGGGTGTTTCACATTATGACCAACAAGGGTTCGAAGGGAGCTAAAGTGTTGGGGTATTTTACGGACAGTAACAGTTCCCCCCCCCTCCCCCGCTTTTACACGTCTTGGAGACTTGGAGACGACAATTCGATACTTGCAGCTAAATGTGCAGAATGGCGCCATCCAACAAACAACAGACGGGGGCATCAACAGCACTCGGGAAACAACCGTCTGTTTTCACGACCAATTTTAATTCCGTACGCCCGCTATTACCGATTCATGGGCCCCTTTCCTTACGCTTGTGATGACAAAGTCTTTATTAACTTTCCTATGTCCCTGGGTGACTTATGGCAGATATTTGTACGTTAGAGGTCTTAGAACTGATAACACCTGAGGGACTAGTCTGTATTCATCGCCTGAGGGGAGGGGGGGTGGTGGAGAATTGATACCTCCTGAGGGACCAGTCTGTATTCATCGCCTGAGGGGAAGGGGGGATGAAGAATTTTTTGGGAAGATCACATGTCTTCAGGGGGGAGCAGAGGGAGGATTACTTGTCACCAAGAGAGTATAAAGGGGAGGGGAGGGGAGGGCACTGCCAATTAACTGCCAGTGATGGGGGGGGTCATAAGAATATTATAAAGCCTTAGGGGAGATCAGATAAATTATATCGTGATACAACCAAAATCCTCCAATCCCCTCCCCCCTCCCCCTTCCCGGGCGATGAATAATGGCCATCGTTGTACGGCGAGAACTGGCTCATGATATGTTTGTTTGGACTTGAGCCAAGAAAAGTTTGGTAGAACACACATTTTAGGCGGAAGGGTAGACTACCTGACATACCTCGCTGCATGTTGTGAAAAAGAGGAAAGCCAAACAAAAGAAGAAACCAATAGGGAAACTTTTGATTTCTTTTTTTTTTAAGGAAGTTACCTTTTAACCACTTCTGTTCTTACCGACACTGAAGTTATATTGTTTTGGATTTCTAATCTCCTCAAAGCCATCATTTCACATTCTACTCTTAGTGGGGTTGAAATCTATTTGTGCAGACGATCATGGAGTTAGGAATTTGATTTTTTTTTATTCTTAATATATTTAATCAACTATTACGCGTTCCTTTCTATTGACAAATCTGGCGGACAAATTTTGTTCTGTCGTTTTATGCTCAGAGCTTAATATTTATGCTGTGAGCATAAATTCGGTACTTCTATTAATAGATAGGCGTTCATAAACGAATTTCTCATTCAGAGTTGTTGAATATTGGCCAGATTCCTTTTTTGTGGACATTCATGGACAAATACGAATTCGAGGTCCATATCAGCGAAAAAAAAAAACAAGAACAATATTTAGCCACCTTGACAATATGATACACTTTGTTAATGAGGAAACAATTATTTGACACAAATTTCACATGAGTTTGCTTCTGCGTTGGAAAGATTGATCTAACTACCGTGGTGAACCAATCAGAACACAGGATCCCCTTCCTCCTGCCTGCATGCGGAGCCACCCGTTATAATCATGGATACAGTTTACAAAGCGTTTGGAAAAATTCTCTCATTTCCACCAATAAGATGGTTGCTCTGAAATAAATTAAGCTAGCGACTAGATTGAAGTCGACTCTTTATTTATAACTCGCATTTTACACTCAATACAATACAACATAAAACAGTATTCTTTATTTAACGAAGGTGACGTAATAAACCCAATGAGTTATCTAGCTTACGGCCTTACTCAGCCACGGAACGAATGGATTTCTGTGGGTTTGGAATTAATAACTGAAAAATGATAGGAAATGCTAGGTCGTCAAACGGCTTTACAGCTCTGCCCAAAATCGACAACTTTGTGTTCCCAGACCGGAAAACGCCTAGTATCTTGTATTAGCTAGGGACAATGGAAAGGATGTGATAAAGATGACAGGAATTATTTGTGATGACACGCCCATACAGAATTTGTTGAAGAACTGACATAAAAGCAATGAAACATTAATAATTTATAGATTTACATTTTCTTTTATCGCATTAGTATTTTTTATACTCCGATGCGGTTTTATCGGTTTTATACTCCGATGCACGTTGTAAATCAAGCCACGACGGCCGGATGAAGGTATCTTCCAACTTTAAAAATGCTGGGGAACCTGTGCAACTGTAACACATTAGCCAGCGGTGTTTCTTATCACAACAGATGTTAATTGAAGATGGCGGATGTAGGAGTGATAGTGCGATCAGACCAGGAACAGGAGGTATAAAAACTGTACACAGTCCAATACGCTGAAATCTTTCTTTTTAATTTCACTCTTTCAAGACATGACTTGCTTTCCTTGCTCTCTAACACAGGCGATTGCCGTTTTCTTGAGAGAAGTCAACAAGGACTGCGCCGAAAACGGCTTGAGTCCTGTGGGAACATCTACCGCTCTTATGTTCCTTATGGCTAGGAAATTTAATGTCGAACGAGCTGTGAACGTATACAGACGATATCAGGTAAGGAAACTGTAACAGCTGCTAAAGATTTTCCAATGTTTCTGCTTATAATAAAGCGTCATTTCCAAAGACATGAACTTTTTCTCTAATCTTAATGTACACTTGCATATTCCGTCTCTAATCGCCGCCGAATTTTCCGGCTGTGTCTCTGACAGCTAAAAACAGCTGTTTGTGGAATACTGTGTTTAACTTTTAGTGCTAATGAATTAAACAACAGGTATAGGATTAATAATTGTTGCGTGTTCACTTCTTTATGTACACATTTTAACTGTAATTGATACCTGTGTTCGCAATTGCGAACGATTTCACCGAGTATATATTTTTTTGAGAGCAACGATGAAAGAGCTACAGTTTAAAAATAATCCCCCCAAGGAATGTGATTAATTCTTTGTACTTGACTTTTTTAGGAGGATTACTTTTGTACATTAATTAATCTGTTTACAAAGTATTGGTTCGCCCATAGTAATCATGCTCAATATATTGAATTTTCCCGTTGCTAAAATTTTGCCATAGTTTAAGTCATTACGAACGACCAAGGTAGTTTAATAGCTGAAAACGTTTTTCAGTTTCAGTTACTTTTTCTTGGATCCAAATAGGTAAAAGATGGACCTTTAACAGGCAGATATTTATCGATAATGATGTTTTTTTGTATTTGGTTGATGCTTCCTTTTTCAGTAATTTGTCCAGTTACAATATATATATATATATATATATATATTTTGTGATGTCTTTTACATTTCGGTGGATTGTAACCGTTATTTCTGGCAGTTGCCTGACGATTGCTTCGCAAGAGGCATGAAACTCAGAGTTGCAGTAAAAGTTCAAGTAACCTAATTCTTGAGGTATAATTATCCATAGCTCTAGCCCTGCTATTGAGCACTTTTTAGTAGATGATGATCTCATTCCGCTATTTTGGTTATATATATATATATATATATAAATGAGCTGACATCATGTTGCAGACATGTCAGGAAATTCCTGTTAAAGAACGTAACGTTACGATAGCGCGTGTAGTATATTGCGCGCGCATGTACACATTGTTCTGTCTTTTAAATTTCGGTGGATTGTAACCGTTATTTCTGGCAGTTGCCTGACGATTGCTTCGCAAGAGGCATGAAACTCAGAGTTGCAGTAAAAGTTCAAGTAGCCTAGATCTTGAAGTATAATTATATATATATATATATATATATATATTCTCTAAACTGTTCTCCAAACATTTTCAAAGTGCTAACAAGAAGAATTTGTGTAACAATCAACAGCCTCTAGTTGGTGATCATTTCCTTTATTCTCATGACATCAATGTGTGATTCATGGGGAATATTGTAAAGGGAAATTAGATGTTAGTCACTCCAAGGGTTCATGAAAAAATGCAGCAATCATGGCAGTGACAGTAATATATGAAGAAAAGTGAACTTAAATTATGACATCAGAGTTGAGCATTATTTTCTATTTTCATTGTGTTGTGTAATTAGTACTGGGCTTTTTTAAGTAGTGGAACTACTTTATAAACCTATGGATAAGCCACACCTTTTTTCCAAAAATTGTCGCTAGAAATTCATCATCATCATCATCAGTCTTCTTCGTGCTCTGTTGTGCATAAGGCCTCGATACTTCTCTTCCATCGGTCCTGGTCTCTTGCAATGATACTTGCTTCTTCCCATGATTTCCAACCTGCCTCACTTCTTTCCTTTTCAATCTATCGCCTCTAAGTTGTTTTGGGCGTGGCCACCTTTCTCTTACTGTCTGGTGACCATGTGAGGGGTATTACGCAGTGGTGGTCTTGTGGCATCCTCAAGACATCTCCAAGAAACTTCCACCTCCTTCTCCTGACTTCTATGCTCATCGGCGCAGATCTGGTTTCTTTTTGTAATTCCTCCTTTGAAATGATGTACGGCCAAAATATTCCTTGAATTCTCTTCAGGCACTGGTACTGAAAGGAATCAAGTTTCTCCTAATCTTTAGCATTATTTTGTCTTCCATGTTTCACTTCCCTACAAAAGGACCGGTTTCACGAGGGTGTTGAATAGCTTAATCTTGGTCTTCTTACTATATTGTTTGGAGCTCCACACTTTTCTCAACTTCCTGAATGCTGTCTTGGCCTTACAAAGTCTGCTTTCTATGCCATTATCTGCTCCCCCATCTGCACTTACACATGCTCCAAGATAAGTGAAGTCGTTTGTTTCCTGGATGTCTTGACCGTTTTGGAATTTGATCGAGTTGTTGTTCTTGTAGTTAATTTTCAGTATGCATGTTTTTGATTTGCTAATGTTGAGTCCCACTCTCTGAGCTGCCTCTGTTAGCTTATCTGTCTTTTGCATCTGTCTGTGATTGGTTGAGATCAGAGCAATATCATCTGCGTAGTCTAGGTCTTCTAGCTGACTGGGGAATTTCCATCTGATGCCTGTCTTTGCTAGATTGGTTGTCTCTTGCATTATCCAGTCGATGGCAAGGAGGAATAAGAAGCCTGACATTACACAACCTTGCTTGACGCCAGTTTTTACTTGGAACCATTCAGATGCTTGACCTCCATCAAGGACTGCAGATTTGGAATCTTGGTAAAGGAGTTGGATTATTTTGTTGAGTTTACTCGGTATTCCATCTAGCTTCATAATATCCCAAAGGCTGTTCGTATGTAACGAATCAAATGCTTTCTCGAAATCGATGAAGTTCAGGATCAGGGAAGCCTGCCAACCATGTGTCTGTTCGATAATATTGCGTATTATGAATATCTGTTCAGTGGTACTTCGTCCCTGGCGAAATCCAGCTTGTTCTTGACGTAGTTTTGCATCTATTTCTTGCTTCATGCGCTCCATGAGAATCTTGCCTAGGACTTTGCTCGCAATAATGAGTAAGGTTATACCTCGCCAGTTGATGCAGTCCCTTAGGTTTCCTTTCTTGGGTAGCTTGATGATTAATCCTTTTAACCATTCTAAGGGGGCTCGTTTTTATTCCCATATTAATTGAATTATTCCATGTAGCTTTTGGGTGGATATTTCCAGGTCTGCTTTGAGAAGCTCTGCTACTATGTTGTCGACGCCGCCTGCTTTTCTGTTCTGTAGTGATCTAATTACTTGTCTAACTTCGTCTTTGCTGATGGGCTCTGTATTGATTTCTACTTCTGGGATATCTGTGTCAATCATTGATGGGTTTGTTGGGGTTTCGCGGTTCAGGATCTCTTCAAAGTATTCTTTCCAGCGGGTTAATCTGGCTGAGTCTTCAGTAATGGTTTTTCCTTCTTTGTTGTTAATGGTGGCGGAGTTGCATGGCTTCTCATTGCAGATAGATTTAGTTATCTTGTATAAGGTTTTCATGTTATCCATGTCCACTGCTTTTTGTGCATCATCCATTTGGTCGTTGAGCCATTTCTGTTTGTCTTCTTTGAGGTTCTTCTTAACTTGTTTGTCTTTAATCTTATATTTTTCCAGGAGTTGATTTTGGATCCTCTTTGACTTTGCGTTTTCCATTTGGATCTTCAGGTGTTTTCTCTCTTCAATCATTGACCAAGAGGCTTGACTGATCCATGGTTTGCTGTTTTTCTTTTTCTTACCTAGTATTTTTTCTGTTGTGTTGTTATAAGCTTTGTCAAAGTGGGACTACTTAGTATCGATTTCAAGTTCATGTTCCTCTTCCTGTTCCTCTTCATTGTCATCAATTGACTCGAGGACTGAAAGCTGGTTGCGAAGTTCTATTGAAAATACTTTCCCAATTGACTCATTCTGTAGTTTACCAGTGTCATACTTAGTCCTTGTGCTGGTAGGCTTGGTGATTTTCTTTAGCTTGAGCTTTACCTTGGTTCTAACCAGTTGGTGATCTGATCCAACGTCTGCGCCTCTCAAGACTCTTGTGTCTTGAACTGATCTTCTAAACTGCTGGTTTACTAGTACATGATCGATCTGGTTCTGTGTTCTTCCATCAGGGGACGTCCAGGTGTTTTTGTGGATTTCTTTGTGGGGAAATAGTGTTCCTGTGATAATAAGGCTATTCATCTCCCAGAAGTTGGTGAGCCTTTCAGCATTGTTGTTTATCGCTCCTGTTCCTTTTTTTCCCATAATTCTTTCCCTATTTCTGTTGCATGATCCGACTTTTGCATTCATGTCTCAGGTTACCAGCAGGAGATCGTGTTTAGCTACTTTCTCAACAATACTTTGTAGTTGTTCGTAAAACTGCTCCTTGTCTTCGTCTTCTACGTCAAGTGTAGGTGCATATACGTGGATAATGGTAAGTTTGATGAATTTTGAATAAAATCGTGCCATAATTATGCAATCGTTTACAGGCTTCCACTCCAGCAAGGTTGATTCTGCTTGTTTCGACATCATAATTGCCACACCACTTCGGTATATACCATCTTTTCTCCCTGAGTAGATAACAGTCTCTCCTGTAGTTAACATTCACTTACCCGAATCCGTCCATCTGCATTCACTGATGCCCAGGATGTCTACGTTGTATTCTCTCATCACATGTGCAATTTGTGCAGCTTTTCCAACAGCATACATCGTTTGTACATTCCAGTTTCCTACGGTAACAAATTTCTTGGGTTTCAGAAGTGACTCTGTCAATCTGGGGGCTTCTTCTGTAGGGGCTTTCACCCTCCAATGTCATCTGGCGCTGGTAGTCCGTAAACAACAGATCACTGTCATGGGGTACCCGGTCAGTCTCTTCGTTCTGCCCTTTCTGCCCTTGCATTCTTTGAAAAGTATTTCCGGTTTCAGTAATAATATTTTTTTTACGGGGAAGGGATATTAGCCCTTCGCCCAACCCCCAGCCTGGAGGGCCAGGTGTTGCAATCAGTCAGGCCTCTCACTTGGAACTTGCCCAACATGGTTGAACCTACCAGTGACCAAATTCACCGCTGGTATAACCTCCAAGATCATTAAGACACGCAGACCTTCCCACCACTATCAGGCGCAACACTTAGGGAGGGTCACTAGAAATTGGGGGTGCAGTAATTTTTTAGGGGCAGTTATTGGTTAACTTTTAGTAGTCTAGATTGAGATGAAACACACAGGCTCAGTGATTCTCTTTTAGTAATTCTAGATTGAGATGGCACACACAGGCTCTGTGACTCTCATTACCCATGACTTAAACTATGTTCTGTGGATTTTACTTTCACAGCATGAACGTCAGATGTATTATTTGCAAGAATTGGCTCCATATGATCAACCTTTGAGCTCTGAACTTCTTGGTGGGAAGTTTACAGTTTTGGTGAGTCACTTGACTCATTTGTGGTCACCTATTTGTTTGTGTAGATGTTGAGTGTAATGCAGCACTATTGGATAGTGATAGAAATAGCACTATATAAATACTGTACTATTATATTATTACACGACTCGGGCAGTCAGAGGGCCAATAACTAAAATCAACCAATCAAAATGCTCCATTGCCGGTCCAATATTCTCTAAGTATTGGACCGGGCACTGTCCCGAATGGTCCAGAATGATACCGCACTTGTGTCCCTTTGAACTTCAGTCATATAATAAATCTCTTATTAACCAAGCTTGCTCGGGACCATACTAGAAGAATATCAGCCCTCGGTCTTTTTTGTATGGACCGAGCGCAGCGAGGTCTGTACTGTCAAGACCAAAGGCTGATATTCTCCCAGTACGGCCCTTGCGCTTGGTTAATAAGATATATTTATTATATTATTATTAGTGGTCAAGAGTTTGTTACTTGCAATGAGTATAGGGGGTAAGGAATTGCTCCCTAATCTGGGTGCAAAATTTTCCGGTTAACTTTTAATATAAAAGAGATCATTACAAAGCTGCCATGGCAAGGTGACCTTCAGATTACAAAGTTTTTAAATGAGTTGGTCCAGAAGCTTATTAGTGCTATAGCCTTTGAAGTCAATGAGAACCCAGAGCATAGTAATTTGGTTTTATAAACTAAGTTGAAATTATAAATTAGCCACCATAAAGAATTAAAAAGTTGACATTGTGAGCGTTAGCCCTTCATCAGAGCAAATAGAGGAATTGTGGGTTGTGTGTGTGTTTCTATGCAGAAAGTGGTGCTGTACTATTAGTGGGAACATGGTGATGAGAAAAACAAGAATAAATTAGTAGAACGAAAAGCGTTTGTTGATACCTATTGGGTTAAGAGTGCCGATTTGAAAAATAAACTTTTGTTTAGGAGTTTTGCAGCTTTCCAAGCTACCTAAATGTGAGGAAAGACTGCAGACTGCCATATGCTGCTTAGAATGATTAGGTAGATTAAAGAGAGCATACCCTGCTTTCTTTAGGGATGAGGTGACAAGGATCATTGCTCTTATCTTGGAGGAGAAACTTAACCCTTTCACTCATGAGATCTCCTTAGTAATTCTCTTTACTGTCCCTAAATGAGTAAATAATTTTTACTCCTGCTTATCTAGGATGCTCGTGATTCAGGAGGTGCAGCGATAGCTATGTTCACTGCTAGCAAGCACTTTCCTGCAGCAACAAGTCACAGGACAGTTATACAGGGAATTGCATTTCAGCTGGATGAGTGTCTGAAAAGGTACAAAATATGTACACAGCAATTTTCTTTATTCAGTGGGCATGATCACTTGAAGATAAGAAGTGATGATGATGATTTGGTTTGGCTGGTACATGCATTTGGCCCTTTTTGATTTTATTTATATGTTTTATATCTCAGGTAGGATGAGATACCAGCTTGCCTTTCAATAAAATTGGCAGTCCCTGCAGTACATTGCCTTGTCTGTAAACACGTAAAGTTATCTGATTATCTGACCACTAGACATTATGTTGTGTGGGTTAACTTCCCATTATTTATTTCACATTTTTGTTTATTTTCCAGTTACGAAACCCAAAAGAATGGGTTAGTACTGCTCTACGACATGACAGGATCAGGCTATCATAATTTTGATTATGGTCTTGCAAAAAAAGTCATGGATCTGCTGAAGGTAACCTTGTACTTTCCTTATGTCGCCGTCAGGCATTTTTGAAACATTAAATTGCATGTGCACAGTTGTGTACATGTTTGCTTTGTGCCGCCTTGTCAAGGATTATCCAAGTATTCATTATTTACATCTCTACACTTCCAGCCACAGGAATGAAAGATTGCATGTAATATGACACGCTGAATTTTGATTGCTTCTCACTTATGAGCTTTTGGAGGACAAATGTGTAAAAATGTCATTATTATACTACACCACCCAAAGTATTGATCACATGAAGCTTTGTCCTTTTCAGGGAAGTTATCCAGCCAGGCTCAAGAACGTCTTCATTATCTCCCCTCCACTTTGGTTTAAGGCTGTGTTATCCATTTTCATGAACTTTCTCCAAGAAAAACTGAAGGAAAGAATTGAGGTAGTTCCAAGGGAAGCATTGCCACAGAGAATTCCAGAATCTTCTATTCCTGAAAGCTTAGGGGGATACCTGAAAGTGGATCATTTAGCTTGGTTAAACAAGTGCTTCGAATCATACTCACAGACACTTCAAGAAAAGGGTAGTTTGAATGGGGAAGCAAAAAACCTTGAAAGACATGGTGGAAATGTGTCAAACAAAGTTGGCACTCTAGCATTTGATCAAGAAGCAGGCATTGGAATTGAAGGTGCTCTCACTGTAATGGAATTTATCGAACACATGATGAAGTTACAAAGAAGGGGAATCAAGATCCAGTATTTCAATTTAAAGACCAAAGCAGTGGCTGAAATTTTTCAGTCTGCAAGGTAAGGACCCATCTGGTTCTTGTTGCTGAACACAAGTTGCAAAACCAGTGACTTAAGCTGCAAATTTAGAATGTTGTGGGAGTGAATAGCTATTGAATGATATGTTTTTGCATGCGTTATTTGCAGACTGCCAGAGAATTTGAAGAAAAACAGGTACACTGATGTCCCGTGTCTAGAAGAAACAAGGGTGAAGCTGTCTAATTTGGATGGACAGGTGGCAAGTTTATCTTTGTAGACAACCTTTTTAGTACACACATTGTTTCCATTAAAAAGCACATTATACCTATGCCAATGAGTATATTATTTTTCAGCTTCACAAGATCTTTCTCTACTGACAGTATTTTGGCCAAACATATTTTTTGTACACCACTGCAGCTTACATGTGACATGACCTTGTTTCATGCTCTCAGTCAGTGGTGACAAGAAAGACAGTGGGCATGGGAAAAATGGCATTACTTCACGAAATAAGCAGGAGAGAAAAGAGTAATGCAAAGTGAGGTTTCCCTGACAACTGCAACAACAGCATCAGCTTGCTTGCCATTTTTTGCACATTGTCATCTACTGAGAGCCTAATACAGGCTATATGTAAAAGAGTCAAGCTTTTCTTTTTTCCATATCTTGACAATCTTGGTTAATCGGGGTAAAATTGTTTCTGCAATTATTTTCTAGACGTCAAATTACATTCATGCAAACTTTATGGATGGATACAAGCAAGCACGGGCATATATTGCCACTCAAGGTTAGAGTGAATCTGCAATAGAGAAGAACCCCTCTAGTGAGTGATGTAAAAGTTAGTGTTGGTTGAATCACAGAATGATGTTATGTAGATACAATTATACAGTTAACATATTTACATGTGAAGTTATCCTCTAGGATTTTTGATGGTAACAATTTACACAATCAAAATAATGGAGCTTAGGTGTTTTTAGTTTTTCTTGCAATACAGTAGTCGGTAGTCAGTCAGTGTGCATAAATCTTCATAATTTCCTTAGAAATTATTAACTGTTTTGAATAATTTTTGCTGTTTAGGGCCCCTGCCCCACACCAAAGGTGATTTCTGGCAAATGGCCTGGGAACAACAGGTTTATGTTATTGTCATGGTAACAAGGTAAGTGTACTAATTTTATCAAAAGCTCTTGGGGGATAAATGGAAATAAGCCAAACTTTGTTTTGATTTATCCTTGGAGTATGTGTAGGATTAGAATGATGTAGTTTACAATAGAGATGAAATTAAGGTTTTTGGAGGTATCATTCACCGGTAACAAGGTAAGTGTACTAATTTTATCAAAAGCTCTTGGGGGATAAATGGAAATCAGCCAAACTTTGTTTTGATTTATCCTTGGAGTATATGTAGGATTAGAGTGATGTAGTTTACAATAGAGATGAAATTAAGGTTTTTGGAGGTATCATTCACCGGTGGCTGCTAGTAGGTTAGTGATATATGCATTTTGAGCTTGAGGTGCAAAATTTGGGGTGGTTCATTTCTCTGGAAGGAAAGCTACACCTTGAATAACAAAATAATTCAAATGTTTTGTGCTGCACGAGAAGTCAAACCAGTTAATCCAGATCTCAGACCAGTTAATTCAGATGCTGCACCAGTTTCTCCAGATATCAAACCAGTTAATCAAGATTTTATATCAGTTGCACTGACTCCGTTTATCCAGCATCAAGCACACATCATTAGCATGGCTTCCCATCTTCTTTCATTTCTTTCCTTTCTCATCTACATTGAATGGAAACAAAGCATTCTCAATCTCGTTTCAAGTCTCCACTGCTAGGTGTCATATTATTATCATTCATTAGTCATTTTTACAGTCGTGGGCTTGGTGGCCGAGCCTTTGAACAGGAGTGAGGCTTAGGGTGACCTTGTTATGATAGAGATGTTGCTGCTTTTCAAATGCAAATTTCTTTGTTATCATGCTAACTAGATACAGGTCTCTATCACAACAGGGTCACCCTTAGCCTCACTCCTGTTCAAAGGCTTGGCCACCAAGCCCACAACTGTAAAAAGGACTATTCAGTGCAGTGGC